TTATTATCGAAACCTTGGGGTTTTTCCTAATTTTAAAGTTTGAGATTGAATATGTATTTTTATAATATATTTAAATTCTCATTCCAAATATATGTTTAAATATTCACTAAACTTTATGAATTAATTCTCTTTCTTAAGGAATTTTAACCTAAAAAATCTTTAATTAATTATAAATTCTAAAAGAAAGTTAAAATATTTACTATTTACACTAAGTCATACCCAAATTCTACTAAAAAAAGTTTAAGTTTCTTGAACATACTAAACTATAATTACAAACAATATGCTGAATTACTCAATAGCATAAATTCAAATGTATTTGTTCCAAATAGAATTTCATGGTTTTAATAAAGAATTATAACTGCTTGAAATAGACACCTTTTCTCTAAATTTGATTGCAGACTTTCTATTCTCGTACTATCAAATTCTTTCACACTCTCATTGCACTATAAAGAAAGAATTCTTAATTTTTACAAGAGAATTATAAAGTTTTCTAAAACCCATCATTTAATTTTGAATATAAAATTAATTATTGCTCCTTTATTAATATCAATCATTAAATTGAAAAATTATTAATTTCTTTTTTGATATTCAGAATTAGTTAATTTCATTAATTAAATGTTATTTGAAATCATGAATTTAAATATCAAGCTATTCATCCAAATCTATTAATTGATGTTTATTTTCTCCTTAAATAGACCTTAAAATTTCCAAAAAATTTCTCATTGGTAAGAAAATTTTCTAATTTATGGTTCAAGACTTCAGTTTTTCAAAAGGATGGATTATTATTCTAAAAAATTATTTTACAAATCTTTTATACCCAATACTTAAGACAGATATGATTACTTTTTGGTTAGTATATAGATATATTTATCTTTTGAAAAATCTATAACTTTTGTAATATTTGTAATTAATTTAAAAAGAATCTTATTTTAATTCTTTTATTAATAAAAACATTTGTAATAATTAAATTGTATTTAAATTCACATATATATATATATATGAATCATTCATTATTTTTCTTGCTTATAGGAATATTATGCTAATTTATTCAAGTCAAATACCTAAAAATGCATCATTTAAATATTAATTTGGTTAAATC